TTAACAGCTTTACAAACATCTTGACGAGCTCTCCAGAAAGATGAGTTCTAAGTCCTCCAAAAAGTCATCTGGTGTTTATTGGGTGGTGACGTAATCAAAACCAGTCTCCTTATTTACATATACAGACTCCATGGAATTTACAAAGGTCGCATTCAGCGGAGAGAAATGCTCAGCGAGCGCTTGCGTCGACTTGATTATTTTTTAAAAATCTAGAAGAATAGTTCTATCACATCAGCACAGATCTAAAAGTATAACCCAATCAGCGCGAAGCGCTTACTGCCCAGTGAGAAATGATTCGTCGATCGACGTCGAAATGATGTCGAATCGACGTCAATTCGCCGGTCTCGACGTCGATTCGACGTCGTTTCGACGTCGATCGACGAATCATTTCTCATTGGGATGAGCAACTTTCTCCGCTGAACGCAGCCGTTATGAGATCTAACTGGTGACATTTTTCTGCAATAAAATCGAAAGATATCTTCTGGACAACTTTCATAGAGATATTTTGGATAACAATAAATTAATAACTTTTCGATATTTTAAAATAGATATCAGATAAAATTATATGATAACTTTCAAATAACAGTCTTTTTCTTTGTTAAGATATCATAAAAAAAGATACCTTTACCAGATAAGATATGATAACTTTCAGATAACAATTGCAATCTTTTTCTTTGTTAAGATATCATAAACAAAAGATACCTTTAAGAGAACAGTAAAATAGATATCACTTTGAAGACATACGTTGGTTATCTTATGGTAAAATCCTAAAGGCAACCTTAAAGCGATAACCTATAGACACCAAATGGACACTATTGCTACCTGAGAGGCCAAAAGTCCTCGCTCCAGGCAATTCTTTCGATAAAATTTGATATATTGTAGTGCGCCGAATTATTTAGACACCCCGTGTAAAACATCGATACAGGTACAGGAAAAAAAAGGAGGGGGTGCTTATGCCAAACGTTGCAATTTTGCAAGCGATAGTCGTTGTAAGACGGAGCACGAGTTAACACCTCTGGATTATACATATATAGTAATAAAGTGAACAACATCAAATTTAGTTGACCGTATCTGGCAATTTTAATGTTAAAGCCTCGCGACGTTTCGACCATATGGTCCTTTTCAAGCGATCTGAGATAGTCATGTACGTAGACTCGCGTGTATTTTGGTGCTGTAGAAAGAATTATCGTTATCTCATAATGCTACGAAAGATTTTTGTCGAAGTTAGCTACACACGAACTTTACTTGAGAACTGACTGAGCATGACTAAACGTCGCGATGCTTTAACATAAAAATTGCCAGGTACGGTCAACTAAATTTGATGTTGTTAAGTATTGCTGGCAACCCTGAAGATTTTTCCTGTTAGTTTAATAAGGTGAAGTTATACTGAGAAACAAAGTAAGTGTGTTCCATTTTTGTGCAGACTTGCATCTTAGGGGCAAAGTGCGTAGTGGTCTTGACTTTACCCGGACCTTAGGCTATCTATTAATTTGTGCTTATTCCCAGATAGCACACACAGTTCTATGAATATTCTTCTAGAGTGCAAATATTTTGAATTTCAGAATATTTCAATCGAATATTCTATATATATATATATATATAGATTATTACTTTTTTTATTATATACAGGGTGTCGGATTCGATTTGGACCACCCCAATATCGCTTATAATAACAGTGTGGAAATGTACACTGAGAATCGAAAAACAGTAATAGTCTCTGAATTTTTGCTCATTCTCAACTTTTAATCTTAATACGCAAATGCTTACTTAAAAAAAATAATGTCTGCTGAAAAATACAATACCATCTAACGACTAAAGTTGTAAGCGATATTGTATTAAAGAAAACATGATTACTGAACAATTTTATTATTGAGTGATGTGCAATTCCGTAACCATTACTGTTGACCACCAGCATTAAAATAATATGTAAATAATATGTAGCCTAACAGTAGGGTAGAATTAATTAAACATATATAAATAGTTAGCTCAGCGTTAGCGTACTAGGCTAGTAATCCGAAATCTTAGGTTCGAATCCCACATATAAAAAAATTAGAAAAAAAACTAGTGAAAAAGTTTTTTATTTTCAATAAAATCTTGTACCAAAACCATTACTGGTTTTTATCGTAATGATTGTGGAAATACAGTACTGATTCAATACTGGATTAGTAAGTAACAGTCAATCAGTTGATCTACAATATTCATTACTGTAGAATCCGTAATAGTTATTGTAAAATCCGTACTGATTACTGGGAGAATGCTTACTGTAGTGGTACGTAATGGTACGTAATGGTTTATACTGTAAGAAAGACTAAAAGTTAAAAACGAGAAAAAATGTTATAACCATCACTGTTTTGCAGCTCTCAGTGTAGTCATTATGAGTTTTATGTTCTATCTGGTTCGCCTTCATACGGACCGAGCTAAAACCGAGATCTGAAAGTCCCCTTTCGAATGCGTCCTTCAAGTCCTCACCAACTCTCGTATTTGAAAGAGACAGCATCTTGGACTTTGTTGCTCTCTCATTCAACGTGTAGTAGTACGTGTAGTTTAGCGCCTCTTACGGAGACGTTAAAAATTTTAACCGGCATTTTTTTTCCAAGAAAACACAAATTGTCCAACTGTGATATCTATAGTATACTATGGCTGCATCTTGATTGGCCCTGACATGCGTAAACAAGCACATTAGCAGTAAAAAAGTATACCATGGACTCAAAGAAAAATATGTTAAAAAGCGTAATCCTTGTACTCTGAGACTCAGTTGATCACTTTTTCTTCAACAGAATCGAATCGTTTCAAGGCGACCTTAATCTTTGATCTTCATGCATTATGGACGGTCACGACGATCAGGTGTGTAAAACAAATTCTATTTCTGTACTACCTATTCAATGCGCCAATGCGCATATAACATGCTTTTAATGCATGTTTTATTAATTGGCCTTAAAACAACATTAATGGTATGTTCAAAATGCGCGAATTTAAATGTCTAATTAATGTATTGTACGCATTTCATTAATGACAAGTTTTATAAAATAAGTGAGTAACTTTTGACTTACAGTTAGTATGAGTGTAACACCAAGTTTTTAGGACTTTTTTTTCTGTGCATACGTGTGTAAGACATTTGGGCATATTTGATATACTGAGATATATAATATTATATAAATCTCAATATTATGTTTACTTATATGAAAAATTATGCATAAAAAATCAATGGTACTGTTTTTGGAATGCGTTGCCACAATATACGTTAAATGCGCATTTAATGCAGAACAAATACTTGCATTAAATGCGAATTTAAAGGTACATTTAAATACACGCATAAGCACTCCTTGGGTTCCTTGTAATAAATACTTACATCGTAAAATAATTTGCGTTTCGTAAAACCATTTTCGAGAAATAATTAAAATCGCTTCTGTAGTAGTAGTAGTAGTTGTTGTTGTAGTAGTAGTATAAAACAGCTTCTGTATATGTTGCAAAATTTAAAAAATTAAAAAATTTTTTCGCCGTTTTGTAGTATTTTTAAAGCCATTAAATTTAAAAAAACAGCACTTTCTATCTCTTATAGTTTCGGAAATATTTGCATCCAAAGAGAAAAACTGATTTTCTTCACAGAGGTATATCACCCCCTACAAGTGCGCATGGGCACGTATAAAAAAATACGGGTCTCTTATTTTTAACAGGAAAACAACATATTCAAAGCTCCTCCAAATCGGAGGAGGACACTTAGGAATGTTTCCTTCTTAGATATTATAGAGAAATTCCTATTGTTAAATACCGAATCGACTAATCTCTTTCGCAAGATCGTATCTCGATTTTATGCAATTTTCGGTGTTTAAGCACAAAAACCAGAAATTGCGTAAAATTGTGATACGACCTTGTGAAAGAGATCAATCGGAACTCATTTTGAGTAATTGCTGAAAGTCTACTGACAAAATTAAAAAATATATTAGGTCATTTTGAAAAGAATTTAATAAGCTCTAAGTTGCTGAAAATCTAATTTATACATATTACTTTCTCTGAAAATTAGAAAATTGTAAAGAAACTGTATCCAAAATTGAAAAAATATGTTTTTATAATAATACGAGATACTTCCAGAAATTGCTACTCAAGTACATCTACTATTGCAACTAGAAAACTTTATTAATCGTTTCTGGAATGTAACAGAGAAACTCAATTGCAATAATCGCAAAACCACTTGTACCAAATTTTAACCACTTATACATATATTCACTCATATCAATATATTCTAAATGTACCTTGTAAAGCTTTACCAGCATGTCACACAAGACTTAATTAACACATATTGCTATGTAAATCAATAGAAAATTCTCCTTCTAAACAATTACTAAATTTTCAGACAATTGGGACAAAAATATGTAATATCTTACTACTTCCGGTAGAGATATTATGGCTTGCTGTGAAAATTCTGTATTATATTTGCGAGGATATATGCAGATGCATCGTCCCAATAAAGAAAAAGAGCGTAGCTGGTGAAATTGTTTTGGTTCGTATGAAATTTTTAATATGGATATCATTATACATATATAAAAGGGATACATAACAAAATCTATTTTATTATGTTAAAAGATTATTAAAATTATACGGTCATATTTTAAAATTTTATGTGGGTGTATATGTTATATTTGCATTATCACAGATAACAGGTGCAGGCCATGGTATCGGAAAAGAATTAGCGGTTGGTTATGCATCGTTAGGAGCAACAGTGGTATGTTGGGATATCAATGAAGAAACAAACAACGAGACGATGAACGACATAAAAAAAATGGGAATAGACTCCGTTTATGCATATCGGTAAGTTAATGCTACCTTTTACAATGCAATTTGATGAAATGATGTGCAGCGCCTAAATAATAGCACGAATCGATTAACTTAATATTTGTGCATTTCTTCTTAAACTATGTATCAACTGGTTAAAATTTGATCGTGTTTTACAGATGTGATATAACGGATAGAGAAGAAATCTTCAGGGTAGCAAGGAAAGTAAAAGAAGAAGTAGGTGATGTAACTATCTTGATTAACAATGCCGGTATAGTGTATGTTAAATCACTCATGAATCAGAGTTTCGACGAAATTCAACGGGGCATAGACGTCAATGTGACAGCGCATTATTGGGTAAGTAATGTACCTCTCGCCGAGACATATGTCGAAACTAAAAGTTATTAGAAATAAACATTACTGCAACTGTTGTCATTTTGGAAACAAATACATTTATAAGCTTGCTGCTCAGAAGTGAAATTACACATATAGCATACCCTAGTAGCACAGTGCATTGGCTAAACATTGATTCAATATAAACAAATATTGGGCCAATGTTTACCAATGCATGGCCAATGCACTGTGCTGCTAAGGTAGAAGCTCAATATAATGCACATGCGATTTGAACAAGTATTTCATTAAGTTTTTATAAAACGCTGTTTACACAGTGATATTACTTTTAGACATTAAAAGCATTCTTACCAAGTATGATCGAAAAAAATCACGGTCATGTCGTGGCACTTTCGTCATTAGCAGGACTTATCGGTCTTCCTTATGCAACGGTTTACTGCCCTTCAAAATCTGCAGTCAATGGTAATTAATTCCGTATATAACGATATTAATTATATGTTAATAATACAATAATGATAATAATAATAATAAATTTATTGCAACGCATAATATGCCATAAATTGCAACAAAAGTAGGAAAACGAGTAGTGAGATGAACTGACAGAGTATATAATATGAATGAATATAAGGTGTATGTATGAAGATCACTATGTACGCGCGCGCACGCACGCACACACACATAAAATAACTAAACCCTAGTAGCACAGGGCATTGACTGAACGTTGGTTAAACATCAGCCTAATATTTGGTTGTGTTGGGCTAATGTTTAACCAATGCACTGTGCTACTAGGATAGTATGTATATTTATATGTACATATATACATATACATATATATGTAAATGTAGACATTTTTCTAACGTATTGATGTATGTATCGCAGCAATGATGGAAGCTACGTCTGAGGAACTACGTATGCTGAGTAACGGAAAAAGCTCTGTTAAATTTACCACTGTTTGTTGTTACTTCGTACGTACCGGAATTGTTAAAAATCTAATCATAAGGTAATGTTACAACAATACACAATTGGAACAAATGGTTTATAATATCTCACGCGTAGACTATTCTTTTTATATATTGCCAAATTCATTTGACAAAATTTAATTTATATTTTAATAGTATTCGTTTTTTAATAGATTTTTTATACCCTAGCAGAAAAATTTTCTATAAATAACTGCACAAAATTGACTTGAAATAGAAAGGAGAAATTTTTATTTCTTCGTTGAAAAATTTATTATTTTGTAAATATATCTACGAAATAGTACCACAAATTACAACGTTTTCAAATCAAGACATTATTGCAAGTAGTATTTCATGAAAATGCACAATTTTGTAAAAATCAGTACAAAACTTTACTAGTTTGAAAAATTTGAGAAACAACAAAATCTTAAAGAATTAAAACATCTGCGTACTACTTGTAGAATATTACAATAATTAACAAAAGTGTTCCAATTGCAGCATTTTCATGTTTTTGTAGAATTTTGTAGAATTATTTCAGACATGGTATCGACAATGATAATGTTATTTGATTAATAGCATATTTATAGTAGTAGATATGTATAGTAGTAGATATTTATTGCAGTTATCAATGGTAAACGAATAAATTTTATTTACGGTATAGGTTTCCACTTATAATGGGAGAGCTTCTACCCCGAAACGCGGCTTCGTCAATAATCGACGCGCAAAGACGAAATTATAAAATCAAAAGCGTACCGTCAGTTTGGCTGTCCCTTTTGAAGATTGTAAGGTATGTAAATCATGATCGTAAAAAATATCTGGACAGAGCGCAAAACTGCGGGGTTAAAGCACAAAGGGTGAGAGGCATGAAATGTATATTAACATGGATGAGGCATGTAAGATGGCGGTGACGGATAATTTTACGGAGATATGATCTATTTAAACTTAAAACGAAGGAAACTTTATTTCTCACAATAGCTTTATTTCTCTTTTACCGCCTTTAGCCCAATCCGGCATTTATTTATTTTTTTTAGTGTAATATTCGTAAGAATAATACCCAGTGAGAAATGATTCGTCGATCGATGTCGAAATGATGTCGAATCGACGTCAATTCGACGGTGTCGATGTCGATTCAACATCGTTTCGACGTCGATCGACGAATCATTTCTCACTGGGTAGCGGGTAATTTCACGGAATGTGTTGTAATGTGTCAGTTAACGTCGTGCAACGTGAAAATAGACGCTAAATCTGAAGCATAGATGAACGCGACTGTGAACCTCTCTCCCCTCAGGAACTACTCCCCGCGTCTAAAAGGGTACTTAACGCTCTGTCCAGATATTTTTTACGTCCATAATGTAAGCTATGTCAATATCTAAAAATAAAACTTTAATCACGTTCTACGCACTGTATTTTCAAATGCACAACCGTAAATATATTGGTAATTGTGAATGTTACTGTACTTTTTATGTCTAGAAAAAATATAATTCTTATATTATATATTTCCTCAACATTTATTATTTCTATCTCTATGATAAAATTATATTTTTTATTTCAGACATTTACCCGACAAAGCATTAGAGTGCGTGATAGATTTCGTTGGTCTTCGTGTTGATCCAGAGGACTAAAAAAACACTTTAAAGTATTTCAGAACTTTGTTAGAAACTTGGTAAGAAATTTCACAATGTATTTTACTATTGCATCGCCATTTTCCACCTTGTATTATTTTACATTAATTATGTAATTAAAATATAGATTGACCTTATACAATTTTGATTTCAGAATTTTATCCGAAAATGCACAAATTATTATAATAGGTTTTAGTGATTCATGTGTTAATTTAATTAATTTGCATTATAGTTTTGCAATTAAGTTTTATGGAATTTCAATGATTTGTAAGAAAAAAGAAACTTATAAGAAAACACATTATAATCATGTTGCAAGTTCTTCTGTAATTACATTATTAATATTATAGTTTATTGAAATGTGTTTTATGTTTTATATGTTTTATATATGTATATGTACATTGTTCTTATCATAGTAATAAATTTGTATAGATATAGTCATATAGATATATAGATATATTCTAATGTTCTAAAGAATCCAGTTTTAAAATATCACTGGAAATTATATCAAGATTATCGTATCCTCTCAAACCTACTTTTGCACCAGCAATGCAGCACGCAAATTTGATAGCCTTCTGCAGAACTGTTTCAGTAATAAATTTCAATCGACGATATCTCAAACTTTCTAGATTTAAATTTTCCGTCATATCTCGTTTTACTGCAGTGCCATTATCAACAATGTCATCCTTTATTTGAGTGGTGTTATTTGTACAAGCTGCCTGTTCTTTACATTTGTGCATAAACTCAACTTTGCTTTTGTTCAAATAGTACATGGCAGCTGCATTGAATGTATCACCGGCACCTAAAGTATCAATCACTTTTTCAGGTGGGAAAGCTGGCGATTGTACTATTGCGCCGCACGGGGTACGAGCGATTGCACCTTCCTCTGCCCAAGCACAAATAATGGCTCCTCTAAAACAACATATAAGTTAACTCTTGTATAACAAAATGTCATGTTGACACGTCTTTTATATTAATTATAGCTTAATTGGTATATTCCCTACTTAGCGTTTTGGCCGATGTTGCGCATCACCTCGCTCTTATTATTAAGACCCAGATTTTTGGCGAATTCTTTTGCTATAAATGCTACGTCGACGTACGGTAATAGATCCAGTAATCTGGCACCCGATCTGGGACTTTCTAATTCTACGCTAATTGTAATTGGCATGCGATCAGGCATGTTATTTAATGATTTATTATAATTCTCTATATATTGAATAATAAGTAGCACTTCATCTATATGCCTTCCCTGAAAACAGAATATTATATATTTCCTTGTCCATTGCCTTGTCACAGAATTATTTCCTACATCACGAGACGCACCTCGAAATGAATCCAGCTGTATTCCTCTAAATTAAGTTGCTGGAAATTCTTTAGTGTCAACTCGGGTAAGCCTTGATTGTGATACACAATTGTGCGTGATCCAGTGCTTGAATTCAGTATAATCGTTGCAACAGGACACCCGATGTTTTTTATCACAGGGCAATGAGAGTAATCAATTTTATATTTGCGGAGATCATTTTGCAGAAAATTAATATGCTCGTCTGCGCTCAAGCAAGCCAATAACTCACACGGTTGCCCTATTAATGATAACACAGTGCAAGTATTGGACGCATTGCCTCCCCTTTGCCATCTATAATCAGTAGACCTAGAAAATTATGTTAAAACAAGGAATTAGAAATGTCTAAATAAAAATTATAAACTCGACGTGTATGTACATGAACAAAAATTTTCACAATCGTAAAATACTTCTTTAAACAATTTCAAAAGACGACAAAATTACGCGAAAACTTTCATGAGATTTTGACGAGAAATTACTACCTTTAAAATTTGTTTTTTATTAACTGGCGATCCACCTCTTCAATTGTTCTTAAAATTAATTGATTTCAATTGTATAAAAGTGAAAATAACGCTAGAAAATATTTAACATTTCTCAAAGGAATTATATTTCATAATATGTTCAAATTGTTTTACGCATATTTTATAGTGTTACATAAATATCAGTCAAATCATAAAAATATATTTGCCGGCGTGTACAAAATGTACAGAGATACCTACGGTCAAAGTTCAAGAAAACTGTTGACTTGAGCATTTTTCTGATAACAGACTAGTGATACTGCAATTAAATTCGCCTTTAAATTATAATTAGCTTACCTATATGTCTTTCTTTTTATTTTGTCTTTTATAAAAAATAAAATTTAAATTTCGCTTTTTCGACATATAGACCGAGATATTTCCATTCGCAGTTCATGAATTAAATCATTTATGATCAAATTAATTAAATATATGCATATACATCACGGTAACGTAGTTGCATTTTGTCGGTAACGATAACGATTTTAGTAGTTACTTTTGTCGTTACTTTACCGCACGTGAACTTTTCACTAGTTGCGTTCAGAAAACAAAGCAGTTCAGTAATCCTTAATATGATTGCTACTTGCCTGTAGTTCTAATGGGTTTAGATAAAAGGTAATTTATCAGTATATTTATTATAACTATTTTTTATTATTATTTATTATTATTATTATAAATATTTACTGATTTTAAGTAATAAACGGCATTTGCGAGTTGTTATAAAAATATTCCGTTGCTATATTTAAGATTCTCGACAACGTTTGAAAGAAAAGATTTTATAATTGCAAGCTGTTTACATCCCAAATTTAAATTAAATTGGTTAACTGGGGAGAGGAAAAAGTTTAAAAGTTAATAAGTCATTTTGGTAAAATTTGGTAAGAAAATTTTGGTCCTTATACTAACCTTATTCTTTTACTGGAGGATATAATTTTACTTATACCTTCTGTTTATATTTACCGCAGAAACTTGTATTCAATTATACTAATGTCAAGAAAAAAGTAACGGAAATAGTAACGACTCGTTAGTTCTTTTAGTAACGGTAACGGTAACGACCCTGATAGCGCAACAAGTCTCAGTTATGTCTCAGTTATGTTGCAGTTATGTTGCAAAGACATTGAAACGTCTTTGCAACATAACTGCAACATAACTGAGACTTATGTGCTATCAGGGGAGTTACATTTACAAAGTAACTTTCCCAACCTTGCCTATAGCGTACTCCGTTCTCTTAGCTGTTCCTTTCGTACTATCCTCCCTACATTCTTATCTTCTCTCCGCTCTGCCTTTACTGCCGCTTGTCCCCTGGGCCATATTAGTCGCCTCTTACGACACGGAAGGCTAGCCGGATGATCTATTCGCCGGCGGATCAACACGCCGCGCGGCAAGCACATTCGAATTGACCGCGGAAACAAGCGCGAAGAAACGCGACGACGAGCGACGACGTGACGTCACTGACCTTCGTGTGGAATCCTCCTCGGGAAATAGCACACACATTTGAACGATGTCGAGACAGACGCGTCCCATACATAGAATCTTCAGCGTGCGGGAACCCGTCAGCGATGCCTCGCTGACGACCTCCTCGTGAAAGCTCGACGTCGTGCTTGCGGTAGACATCTCCCGTCACGCCCAGCATCTGTGCCAGGCTTCTACGCTGAGGATCTCGTCTGCCTTTTCTTCTTTATTAATCAACCGTTCTTATCGCGGCAAGATATCACATTTTAAATGTAAACCTTATAGAGGGTCGACGGATCGCGACGGATTGGAACTTGACGCACTTCACCCGAATTAATTTTTGTCTGTGGCGCCCTCCGAAGTTAGCCGTAAGCAACTTTTGTATCCAGAATCGAACCTACTCGAAGGGGGGGGGGGGGGAGAGAGAGAGAGAGAGAGAGAGAGCAATATATCAATTGAAAGTCTAAACACTCTAAACCGAAGAACAAAAAGCACTATACATATACTCCCCTGGCGAAAATTTGATTTGTATATTACACAAATGTTTCCGTGAACTGACAGTTTCTAGGTTAAAAAGGTGCAAAAGTACAAAAGCACTCCAGCATCCCCTTAAGATAGTCGTTTCGCGACAGTAATGCTCAAAAGTTTCTTCCAAACGTAATATTTCGTGTAACATAGCGAACTTTAGCTTTTTTTTTTCAGAACTTCGGGCCGGTCAATTTAGTCTTATTCTGCACGTGTTAATGTAAAGAATAAACCGTCAAAGTTTCAAACAATTCTCACATAAATGATTTTTACGAAATAACTACCTTAAGGTGCGTTTGAGCAGCGCGCTTTCAGCGCTAACAGCGTCTCCCCGAACGCCGCCGAGTGTGGACGAGTTTACGCTGTGGCGCGAACATTTAAATCGAAAGCGCGCACTCCGAAATACTTGGATATATGCTCCGGGTGCCGGAGCAACTTCGCGCGTTAACCATTTCACGGCACCGCAAGTACATATATACTATGCCCGCGGTACGCATACGTGGACGCATTGTAAATCGTCAGATGGCACGGGCTACGATTCAAATTCTTGCGCCTCCGATCGCCGGGGGAACCATCGTTGCAATCGTGACAGTCAAAATGCCAAGATGGCGGCGAGATCGAACTCTTAGCGCATCGCGGAGCATTTGTTGTTGACACCTCCAAATCGCCGATACTCGTACCGGGATATTATACGCCTCAGCGAGCAGGGCTTCGACTTTATTTGCCGTAGCAATAATATCCCGTCGCCGCAGGGACGGGCGAGGGGCGGGAGGGCAGGGGCGAAGCGTGTACGCGCGACGCACGTGGCACGCTCGGAATACACGCGTTTCGGCACGTAACACGGCGTTCTCGCGCTCGCGCGACACGCCGTACGCAATCGACGCTTTAGGCTTCGTCTAAGCACGATGGACCCGCGCTTGCACAGAAGATCCGAGGCGGAAAAGGCGCCGGGCGACTTGGTCAGTGGCGTTAACCTCGAAATTTCGATTCCTCGTCGGCGCGCCGCGCTCCCAGCGGGGGCGGCGAGACGACTCGCCGCTTCTCGCTCCTATGTCGGGGAGAAAAGAACGCGCGCGATCGCTTACCCCCGCGATCCGCGCGTCTTTCGGCAAAGCCGCCCGCATTCTCGACGCCGAGCCTCCGAGCGCGTCCCGCGTTCCATTTCTCTTTCCGCCGTTTGCGGGCGTCGATGGCAATCTGTCGCCGATCTTGCAAATGCAGACCGATACCTCGCACGACGAGGAATTGTATTTCGACGATTTAATAATAATTTTACCAAGTATCGTTACGCGAGAACTGTCGCGAGCAGGAAGCATGGTTTATAAGATTAACGACGTTGTAATCGGCCGCAAAAATAATCCACATCGTTATATCCAAATGTTATAATCGTGAAGAGTTCTGCCGTGAGACGATGTAATTTTTTTTAAGTATTCTCTATTCTCTCTCTTGCAGATCGTCGAGTGGTTAAACGAGGCCTCGATGGGCCCCACTGAGGAAATTAAGATCGCAAACATATGCAAAGTGCAGGAACTCCTGTTGAACAAGGAGCCGCACTTGTTAGAGCCCTATTTAAACGACATTCTACAATTCTCGTTGGACAGAAGCGCCGAGGTCAGAAAGACTGTTACAGGATTTATCGAAGAAGCCGGGTTAGTGTCGACAGTTATCTCCTTGCGCCGCGCGATCTCGCTTGTTAGACGGAAGCAAATGTTCAATGTTCCTCGTAACTGACTTTTCAGGATAAAGTATCCGGAGGTGATCCCACGCATAGTTCAAATACTCCTCAGGCTGGCGTCCGACGAAACGTCGGTTGTAGCTAAACGGGCACTCAGGGCCAGCGGCAGAATTCTCAGGGTCGCTCTCAAATGGATCGCCAGTGCCACTGTCGTTACAACTGAAATGGAATTGGCATGGACGCAGCTAAGCGCCCTCAAGGTTCAAATTATAAATATGATTGACAGCGACAACGATGGGTGAGTGAAACTCGTGAGAGTGAACTTTCCCTTTTGCCACGGGGGTCGCGGAACTTGACGCTGCCGTTGTACATTTCAGAATAAGGACACAAGCCGTAAAGTTTCTCGAGGGCGTGATATTAATACAGACATATCCAGATCCCGACAGCCCGAAGAAGACCGATGACTTCTCTCTCGAGGATATTCCGCTAACGTTGAAAATAGCACGCAGACGGAAATTGGAAGAAGAGGCGAATCACGTTATGGATTTGCTGATCAAGTTTCACGGGTCTCCACATGTCAGCAGCGTTAACTTAATGACGTGCATGGGATCCTTGGCGTTAATCGCTAAAATGAGACCACAATTTATGCCAAATGTAATTCAAGGTATGCTTTCACGCGTATATTGTACGGTGATGTTTCATCTGTCCACTTTCTGTAAGATTTAATATTTATTTTGTATCGCGCAGCTTTACAAAGGTTGCAACACGATCTACCACCGACGCTGTCCGATTCTCAAGTAACCAGTGTGCAAAAACAATTGAAACTTACTCTTCTCGGTTTGATGAAACACCCTGCTAGCATAGAGTTTGCTTCGACCATAGCTAAACAGCTGACTCAGCTTGGAGCGAAAGAACAGGAAATTATTAAAGCTTATCCAAAACCGGAAGACGTCCGTCGGATGAAAAAGCGTCAACAGGTATATATATATATATATATAAACTTCAAGTAAATACATTTCTAGTTGTACATAATCCTTAAAAATTTATTTATGTATACAAAGGAGATAGCGGCTGCTACTGCTGCGAAACGGCCAAAAATTGAAGTGACTTTAATACCCGATGAAGCAGAAGCAGCACCGAGTCCTGTCCCGGCGCCTAAATTACCAGACTTGATTGAACTGTCTGAAAATTTTATTTCTGAAAGACTCAGTGTAGAGATTGCAACAGATTTAGTGATGGACAGTATGGTACGATCACAAATTATACATTAATTTATGTCGTAAAGTAAACTTTAAATTGTGTGTAAGATGCATTAATGAACAATTGAACATTTAATAGGCATGGGTCCCGGATACTATGACGACAATTTTTCAAAGAGAATATCAACCCACGGCAACTACTGATATTAATATACAACGTCAAACAATTGCCAGACTTTTAGCGGCACAAATCAAACAGACTAAAGCAAAAAAGAGCAAAAAAGATAAGGAAGAGGATGCCGTGATGGAAGACCTAATTAAGAATCCCACCATTAGCGTAGCCGAGGCAAAGCGGGAGCGTAAACGTGAAAAAGATCGGGAGAAAGAGAAGGAGGCGAAAGCGTCGTTGGAGGCTCATGAAAAATCTCTGGCAAAAGCCAGAAATCGTTTGAAGGCGTTGAAATTAGTTGAAGTGACAAAACCACTTCCGAAAGAGATTAAAGAACGAATGTTACTGATGGCAGTCAATAGGATATTACTTTCAGAAAAGACTGCGGTTCTTGGTGGCGTAGCTGCTGTAAGGTACGAAGCATAAATTATTATACGTATAAGGATTCTTAATATACGATGCTTATCTTTAATTCGTCTCTTTATGCTGCGCTACAGATCCAAAATTCTGACTACGCTAGCGGCCACCTTCAATCCTTACATTAAAGAAGCTGTGCTGCGTTATATTACCGATGACATGCGAAATCGACTAGATTTAGCGCTAGGTTGGCTATATGAAGAGTATGCGTTGCTACAGGGATTTCAAAGGCGCACTACGTTGTGTACAAAACCACAAGAAGCCCCACATCAGGCATATAATTTCTTATTGTGCACTTTGGTTTCAGCTATTGACTTGATTCAGGGCAAAGATCGCGATACTCTGTTATCAAGGTAATATCAAATTAAAGAATGAAAGTATAAATAGAATGAACTCTAAAAATATAAAAATCTGACTTGTTGCATAATATTTTCTTTTCATGTATGAAAGACTTTATCTGGAAGCCCCGTTAATAACAGAGGAAGCTGTAGACGCTTTAAAACTGGTGTCGTCTGATGAGACTAGAGGTCTCGTGCCATTGCAGCTTTTGAAAGAAATGGTAGTGCGTAGACCAACGAAACAACTGGTATTTTTAAACGTTTTGTTATGCCACACCGGACATGAAAACAATACGGTAGGATTAAAAATCATATGGCATACGATGTGCTCCAAATATGTACGTGTTGGTGCTACAGAAAGTAAAATTACAATACACTTTAATAAATAGATACGGGAGGCTGCAATACAATTGGTCTGTCAGTTATACAGCCGAGCAGACTTAAGTAAACTGATCGAGGAATATGCAGTTCTGTATTTAGGATTTTTGCGCCTTCATAATCCACCGGAGATTGTTTTCGGGCAGGACAGAGGCAGACCGCAAATCGAGAGTCTGTGGACCGAATCGACTACACGTGCCTGCCTGGGATTATATCTTGCTCTTCTCAGCGAACATCAAGATCTCATTCACGAGTGAGTGTGATGAAACCTTTTTTTATTATATATATATACAATACATGTAAGATATATTTGTGTGAAAATACCGTACTGTGTGTTCACATAATTGTATACTCAATTAATTTCAGATTGGCTAGAGTATATACGTCAATGGGAGCAGATGTGAAACGTATTGTGTTAAGACTGGTGGAAGGGCCAGTGAGATCTCTGGGTATGGGTAGCCCGCAACTGCTCGCACTTGTTGAAAACTGTCCAAAAGGGTCTGAAACTTTAGTCACAAGGATCATACATATCCTTACGGAGAAATGTACGTTATTGTTGCTTCGAAATATGTAACTTTATCAATCTGTTCTTTTCCATTGTTTTATATTGTGGTATTTGTGTACGCAGCTGCCCCAAGCGCAGAGTTGGTAGCCAGGGTACGCGAGTTATATCAGACTAGAGTCTCCGATGTCAGATTTTTAATACCTGTTCTGAATGGACTGACAAAGAAAGAAGTGATCGCCGCATTACCAAAATTAATAAAATTAAATCCTATCGTCGTAAAAGAGGTTAATACGGTTAAAATACTACTTGAAAGTACTTTATTCGCTATCTTAAATGCGATTGAAACGCAAGAAATCTGTTTTTTTTTCCCAGGTGTTTAATAGATTACTCGGAACACATAATAACGACAGCGGGGTACCTCATACGTCGCCTATTACGCCTGCGGAATTATTGATAGCTCTACATAATATAGATCCAAGCAAGGCTGAATTAAAGACCGTCATTAAAGGTAGATTATTCTGTGTGAAGTATCTATTTGTATCACTCGAGGGAAATCTTGTCAACGTAAATTATACGAATATTTCATCTTACGTTTGCAGCAACGTCTCTTTGTTTCGCTGAGAAACAAGCGTACACGCAGGAAACAGTCGCCGTTGTGATGCAACACCTCATGGAGATGACGCCTTTACCGACATTATTGATGCGCACAGTCATACAAAGTCTGGCACTTTACCCCAGGCTAAGTGGGTTCGTTATGAACATACTACAACGTCTGATTCTGAAGCAAGTGTGGAAACAGCCGAAAGTGTGGGAAGGTTTCGTCAAGTGCTGCGAACGCACGCAGCCGCAAAGTTTCGCTGTTATTTTGCAGTTACCACCGGCACAGTTAGCGGAGGCACTCCGAATGGCGAGCAATTTACGTGCTCCTTTACTAGCTCATGTTGAAGCTTTTGCCGAGAATCAGGTAATTTCGTAGGCGCATTTTAAAGTATAGTTTTATTATATAGTTTGTATCGAATATGACAGAACTCTCTCTCCCCCCCCCCCCTCTCTCTCTCTCTCTCTCTCCATTTTTAAACAAATAAATATTAAAATAAAATTCTGAACTAAAAAGGTGATGTTAAATGTAGTAAGACTTTATGAATGATATTAATACTCTGTCATGATTTAATTTTGTATAATTGTTTTTTTTTTTTTTTCAGAAAGCACACATTCCACAATCAATAATGGATGTCATACAGGGTAAAGTGCCCTGTGACATGCACGATGAATTTGATATTGTGAGTAAAGATGCCTGTATATAATGAAGTGATTTTTTGAGCCCTATCTTTATAACATAATTCTTTAAAATAAATATATGCTGTATTTTCTTGAAAAAATATCTCTTCCGTCAATTTCTTTCAGGCACCACCTGATGATTATTCGAATGATCAAAAACCAGATACAATGGAAATTGATCTTTCGGAACCAGCCCCTCCCGGTTTAGATTAGCATAAAGTCATTCCAGTGTTAAGATCAGAAGCATCGTTTGTCGGGTATTTTAATAAATTATAACTGTACATTATTACTGTGCGGCATTATAACTGTACAGTAAATTTTTTTTTGCGTTGCTGACAGTCCATATTTATATCTCTATTTGGCGCTAAGTATGGATTTAAATCGGCTAATATTTAGCGCTAAGTGTGCAAGTGAAAGAAATAAAATTATATATAATTTAATTTAAAATAACATTTACAGGCAGTAGTCTGTAATTAGACAGACAGTAGTCTGTAGTAGTTAGGGTAATTTCTCAATACATATTGTTTTTTATAAATGATTCGACACCATATACGGTCATTATTAGGTTTATAAATCAATGTTATTTTCTGATCTTCAGTATAATCTGAACATTTATTTCGGTATCTAATAAAACATATAGATATTATCCGACTTCTCATATTTAATTAGCATTTGTAACAATACCAAAATATCAATGAAAAATCTTGAAAAATAAATCTTTTCGAATAATCTTGATTTTAATTGGATTCCAATTTTTATTTGCGTGTGTGTGTGTGTGTGTGTGTGTATATATATATATATATATATATATATATATATATATATATATATATATATATATATATATGGAGAAGATCAGTTATGTCATTTTTGTAAGTCAGCTCAAATACAATCTAATTTATCTGTCAAACAAACCTATTTCGTATAAAATGCATTACGTTTTAAATGCATAACAATGAAATTTGCCTCGTCGGCAAATGCGTATTACCACTCCGTCGTACCAATCTTCAATTGGCAACAGTCGAAAATAAAAAATAAAATATTTTCTTAATTATTTCATTTAGAAGAATCCTTCTTTTTCTTTACAAGTACACTTGTGAACGACCACTTCGGTGTGCATTACGCTCACCTATTGTAATAAATAACTTTGTTTTGTAATAAGTATCTGTTTTAAAATTACTGTTGCGCTGTAGTTATTGCAGAAATATAACTTGATTATTAATTGAAATACAGTACATTATTTTAATACATACAATTGATTTTGTTAAACGTAAAGACTAAATTACAGATCAGTCTCAACATTACATCGTATATGTATGTGTACATATATCATATTTACATCAAAAGTTAAAATAATTATGCTTAAGATAACAAAATAATATATGTAAAATAGAAGCGAGTACACATTTATTATACTATTATATGAAAGTAACAATCTTTTTTGTGATAGAACATATAATCTTCAAGTGTATAAAAGATAATAAAATATTTTTTGTTATATAAATTCTCATATTTGTTGCATTCTCTCTCTCTCTCTCTCTCTTAAGGATTAAATAAAATATTGGTATGTATAAAACAATTCAATATGACCGTAAAAATATCAACAGAAACTATGTCTCGCTGAGAAATTATTCAGCAAGAATTTTAAGATCAATAACTCATTACAAAGCGAGACCTCGAGAACACTTGAATACGATCTTGATTTGTACATACAGTAGATGATAAAATATACATATCTGCACATTATAAGATATGTTTACGTGTAACATTATGCAAAGTCAACGCCAGTGTCTAACAAATCACGTAACATAAAGGATGCCTTTTTTGGAAGAATTCTGAAAACGTAAGAAGCTTGTTAGGTCCTCTATTAGCTCACGTACGAATAAAGAAATGAGTAGCGAAAATACCTAAGTACATGTCCGAGATAAAGTAGATATCCCGGCACACTGAACTCTGCGTAGTTTCGACGAACGCCGTCCAAGATTCGTCTAGCGGCTTCTGCGGCAGGCATCGTACCAAAGTAACTCGGTATTCTGCAAGACGCGTCTTTCAGAAATGAGGACACCGTAGCAAACGGTTTAATTACAAAAGAAATGAAAAAGAATTAAGTGTACACTCTACAAACATATCACCTAAAACGTATATCTTTCGCGACTTCTGTTCCAACGATAAACGGATAGATGTGAACCAGCGAAACGGCGATGTTGCTGTTTGAATGTCTTAATTCCATGTGCAAGGATTCTGCCAATCCCTGGACCGCGAACTGCGCGGTGGCCAAGGGAACCCGGGTTCCTCGATCACTCGACCCGTTGGACAGACCGGCGACGGACGACAGGATCGTGATGTGGCCTTTACCAGCATGCCGCATACACGGCAGAACCGAATCCAAGAGCTGTGAAACAAACGACATTGATCACTACACCGAGACGTTTATATCGAGATGTACGTACATCGGAAACGTGCTCACCCAAAAGTGACTGATGACCGACACGTCCATGGTGTCTCTCACTTCGGATTCTTGTATTAATGCACGTGGACTGGGCAAACCGCAACAGTGGAAAAGCATCGTAATGTCTCCCAGCTCATCTTTGATAAGATTT